TTTAAACAAAACAGCCCCGAAGCAAAACAAAATTGGTCTACGAAACCTGTTATGTAACCATATGCATATCCGTGCCTGAGGCTAAACATGTGGATCTCAACGTGTCAACAGTGCTGACCGTGGCATGTTTATAACCTAAGATATTATGTTAAGTATATCGACAATGTGTTGGAGACAGTGACACCTGAAAGGAGAAAGGGAATCACAATTAAGATCTAGAACTTGAACAGGATCTGCAATTTAACATGTTATGAAGAGTAAAAATTCAATACTACAAGCACACGTGTCTGAAATCGCGCTGTCAGTGCGACACAAAGAAGCACTTTAATGCCAGAGTGAATACAGTACGTGTGCATTTTGTTCCTATCCTTGTCTCCGCGTTTTTATTTGTGGGTTATCTAATACCAGTCACCACTGCCTTGATAACCTGTGTATTGATTCGTTGCCATTGCAAAGAAAGAAAGAAAGAAAGAAAGAAAGAAAGAAAGAAAGAAAGAAAGAAAGAAAGAAAGAAAGAAAGAAAGAAAGAAAGAAAGAAAGAAAGAAAGAAAGTGAAGGTGTTTGCACATGATTACGGACAATGACAGCACTTCTAATATGAAAAAAACCGTAACAGTCACAATATGGAGTTTTGAAAGACACCAACATAAAATCACCGCCTACTACGCACATTTGTCTTCCAGCTGAAAAGGCCGTTGGTGGAATTACACTTCCTAGATATTATGTTATTTACTCGGAAAGCTTTACAATAATACATGCATTTTTATTGTTTCTCTGTATGGTAATTTGTTCGCTGAAACTTGAAAGCTGGACAGGCGCGATTCCTGGAAAATTGGCGATGCTTTTACCAGGAAGACATTTTAGGACGGATCGCGTTGGTCTGTTTTCACTGTGTCAATGATTATTAATGGATGAAATATGAGTCTGGACAAAAATGTTTCCCACTACCCACATCTCACCCACACTATATGAAAGGTATTCAGGTCGGTGGGAAATTTGTCTGCAACTGTTGTTTTTTATCACCTCGCCTCAACAATGAATGGATCATAAATGTCTTGAGTATTGCAGTTACAGTTTAGCCATAGCTCAAGAGTAATCTATGACAGGAGGACACAGACCATGGAAGACCATACACCGTTCAGTGTAGATACGTTTGTTGCTAGGTAGGTAGATCTAGTGACTTATAAAAACACTTTTAAATGCAAAGTTGCCAGGCACTACTTCAGTATCCCATCCTCAAATCAACATCAAGTACTCTGTGAAAGTGAGCAAGCAAGTGAGCAAGATATTCGATATTTTAGTATTTTATACAAGGCCCCTGTCATATATTACGAAACTGAGTCATGTTACACTGTAACTCGTTCATAGGCAACGTTTGTTGTAAAAGATTATCTGATTCATATGCAGTACGTTTCAAGAAAATGTTGATTTGTCTAGGCAGCCGTCGTTATATAATGTGTCAGACTCAAGCTGACCAACTAGCCTTCCTTCAACGTCCTGAATTATCACGAAGATCGTCAGTTTTGAACATCTACTTGCCTGATCTCCGCGTCACTGAAAAACAAAGCAATCTCTGTCTTAAGCTTGTACCGCGAGTTGTGGAGACGCTGCGTGGCTTGAGGTTCAACCACAGGAGACACAAGGTGTAGCAGAGGCAAGTCTTTACTCTAGGACCTGTCTTGTCAAGGAACTGTGGAGATTACAGTTATCGTTGAAACGTTTATTTCAAAACACCATAATTGCAATGGTGTGGTCATGGACTCAACGTCTATGGGCAATAATATTTTTGGTATTTATTAACCATAGATTTTCACAAGGTGAAAATACAACAACTGAGACATGGATTATGATTAGATATGAACGAATGAAAAGTTTTACATTTTCTTCAATTTCAAGACCTAATCTTTTGGAAAATGTGGATTTTAGCTGGAATCTACTTAAATCGTTTCCAAATTTACCCTTCTTGCCAAATTTGCTTAAACTGTCTCTTCGTGAAAACTTGCTCATGACGTTTCCGTGGTCTTCACTGGGCAATGCTCCTCTTCTGCAAAATTTGTCTTTGGCCGGAAACAATCTTTCATGTATTGATATGACTAAAGTTGGCGTTCTGACAAACCTGAGCAAACTGTCAGTACCCACGAATAGTTTACAATCTATCGCACCGTTTCCAAGTTTGCCACGGCTGAAAAAACTCAACCTGTTTGGGAACAAGCTTAAAGAGTTTCCCTGGGAATCCCTCCCGAACCTCCCGCGTTTGGAAAGATTGTGTCTCGCTTTTAATAATCTGGTAACCGTCGGGCCTGCAGGTATGCTGTACAGTCTGAGGTATCTTAAAACACTGGATCTTCAATATAACAAACTGGTCCGATTGCCCGAGACTTCTTTGCGTACAAGGCATCCGGTTAAACTACTACTGGCTTACAACCCAGTACATTGTGACTGCCAGCTGTCATGGCTAATGAACGTAGACTGTGAAAATTTCCCCACGTGCTGCCAGAAAAGCAGCTTCTGCGAAAGTAACGAGTGTAACGTATGTTACCGACCACAAAAATCGTCAAATATCTTCTGTACGGCTTCTGATTTTAGGGGTGGCAAACCTGTAGGATTGGTAACATTTTTAGAAAGATGTGATCCTCCTGAAAACTCGTCCATGCTCGCTGGTACAACCGCAGAAGTCCCATCAACACTGTATGTAGAGAAACTGCTGAGTATGCCGTCTCTCCCACAAGGAACGCATAGCGAGGCCTCTGACAAAGGTGAGATCTGTGTTTTTTTTAAATCAGAATCACAATGATGGTTACAAATGAAAAGACATGGACTAAGTGGCTGCGAACTCAAGTTAGGTACAACTTATATTCTCGCAGCCACTTTTACAATGAAAGAAAAATATTTTACAAGACGTTTGAAAATACATCTGACGATCTGTGTTGCATGTATCAATAGACTTTGTCAATATGACGATGCCTTCCACCATATTTCACTGTTACATTGTACATGTGTAGCACTACAAAAGAACTCTTCCTGTTTTCTATAACTTATATATAATTAGAAATGCGTTACTATTATGAAAGTTAATCTGTGTTGGTAGTTACATGTTCAGAGTTAAAACTTTAGATCCAACTGACAAAAAGTTCTCTCACCTAGAGCTTTCGACCAGTCACTCTGGTCTTCCTCAGTAGACTGACCCAGTGAAGCTTCTCACGTGGCTTCAGCGTCAACACTGGGTCAAGAACAGAAATGTGTGTGTGTGTGTGTGTGTGTGTGTGTGTGTGTGTGTGTGTGTGTGTGTGTGTGTGTGTGTGTGTGTGTGCGCGTGCGCGTGTGCGTGAGTAAGATGTTTGTGTATTTGGTTATGTGCGGTCAAAGATTTCTATGGTAAGTCAGAAAGAAAGAAAAATACTCTAATCTTGTATGTTTTTATTCTTCTCCAGCTCCAAATGTTACAGTGTTTACACCACTGAACACTTCCATCGTCAGTTTAGAACGCCCACGTCGACGCCAACACCTGACACTTGTAGTCCTGTCTCCAGTCGCAGCTATCTCTGCCCTCGCTGTTATAGCCATACTTGGCTTCAAAAATGCACGCCAGCGTCGAAAACGCCGCACCAAAGGGACTCGTATTAGATGCGCCAGAGCACGCTTCAGATACCAAGAGAGCCACATGTATTCCTTTGACAACTACACAATGCAGGACATTGCGCAGATTACAGTAGCAGCGAGCGACCGCTCAGGGATGGAACTCGAGAAGACCACCGTTCACGCCATCCCCTCTTCATGCTTCAACATGGCTTCAGGTCTGTCCTCGGCGACCAGGTGTGGTATAGTAGCGGGGGCTGCAAACCCTGTCAGCACTCTGCCAACAACGCAGAAGACTTACATGTACATAGACACGAATGAAGAAGTTATCAGAGGCAACAGAACTGTTGACAACACACAATTCATGTCGCTATCTGCCAACAGTTCAGCGTACGGTCTCACAGATCGTGGTGTGATAGCGGGAGCTGCAAACACTGTCAGCGCTCTGTCAACAACGCAGAAGACGTACTACATAGACACGAATGAAGAAACCACCGTACATGTAGGCACCCGAACTCTTAACAACACAGAACCCATGTCGCTATCTGCCGACAGTTCAGCGTATGGTCACACAGACCAGGCGCGGACAGGAGGTTCACTCTGCCGTTCCTCCGTCGGTGGGACAGCCTCGGCCATCTACACGGCATCAGACGACGCGGTGAACTTCGTCTATGATGAAATAAAGGGAGAGAAGGAATCCGAACAAAACCAATCTGTGGTGTATTACCCGATGGAAGATGTGCGTTGCCAGGGAGGGACAGACGAAAGCGACTACACCGAACTGCCTTGAATCTATTGTTGTTGTCATTGGCTCAGTATGTTAATAACATCAGCTCTTGCAATATGCTGACTTAACACTATACATTTACCGGTTGGTGTTTTCAATGTGGAACATACAAACTTATAATGCTTTCATTTATACTGTTATACTCTAGGGCTTCAAAGAATTGATACTTACAAGATGTTGTTTGCTTGGCTATGTGATTGATTGTAACGAAAAGTACAGTAAATATAATCGCAGATGATTGAACAGACATGTACACTCTAATGTACATATTGCAGTATCTAATTCAACCATTAGGTGTCTCTTTTTGAACAGCGTCGTGTTCTTTCGGTAAGTTTCGCATTACAATAATAAACATTTACAAATATCAATGATACAACGAGCTGAAATTTCTCAATCCACCCCTAGACCCTGCAAGTGTAATTGTTTGAAAAGAAAGTTGCACCAAGGACATTATCCTTGGTTGCACCAAATTAACTTACGCAACTGCAGTCGAATCATCAAACAGCAAGGAAAAATTAATCATAGTGGGCCAAGTGCTGATTCGAATGAATGAGTGGCTGATGAATACTTGTAGTTAGGAAGGAAGGAAAGAGGGATGGAAGGAAGGAGAAAAGTGGCTACGTTCTGAGATGGCGCCATGCGAAGCTCTTGGTCCCAGGGCAGTGTGGCAGAGTATCCTGGGAACGAGCCGTGTTACCGAGGGGACGCTTCCAAGATGGCGACCCAAACAGTTGGAACTGCGGATCGGTACGTGGGAGAAACTAAACGACAGCTACGAGACGGTAGGTGAACGGTGAAAATGTGTGCGGGGGACATCTGCTTTGTATGGGGTACTTGTTCCAAGACTTGTTCAGTTGGTTGGTGTTGTCCCAGGTTACGAGAATATACGAGTGTGTTGGGGGAGGGGGGCAGTGTCAGCAAGTCCATGCTGAGTGTTGTTGTGTTTCTTACCTTAGCCTTATCATAAGATCATAAGTTAAACTGACAAAACATGTGTCAGTTCGTTATACTTATTTGGCGCTATGTTTATAATATCTTTGTTAAGCTACTTGCTTGTTTGAAGCTCCTTGATTAAGTTGACATCTTCTTTTTTAGTGTCTGAAATTGTGAAAAACGTTATGGATTCCGAAGCTTTATAAACTTACCTCCTTCCACAGGCTTTGGTGTGTACAAATATCCAAACTCTTTCTTTACCTACGAGGGAGAGTGGGTCAAAGGCAAGAAGCACGGTAAGACATCAACTTAGTCTTTCACCTATTGACATAACGACAAATTATTACAACAATGTCCCAGTGGAGAGCAAGTACAGTTAACGTTACACATTAAGTTATTATACACAGCTCATGACATGCTTTTGAAATGTAATGTTATATGAGAACTGATGTAAAATAAAAGATGTTTTGTATCAAAGATTTTTCATGAAAATAACCCCAAGAGGGTCCATCATCATTTTATGCAACCCCTTGGCCTTTACTGGTATGTGACCGTCAGCAACTGGCGGGTTGGTGGAAAACCCGGTCCAGTCTGGTTGAGGGGTGCAAAAGAGGGTCCATTATCATTTTATGCAACCCCTTGGCCTTTACTGGTATGTGACCGTCAGCAACTGGCGGGTTGGTGGAAAACCCGGTCCAGTCTGGTTGAGGGGTGCAAAAACCGGTCCAACCAAATTGCGCCCCCTAGCAAAACATGGGAGAATGGAAAGTGACCAGTTACTGACAGTCTCATTTCAGTAACATTTCAGTAAACAGCTTGACTGTCACAACTGACATTAGTACTGACGCTTCCTAAGAAACATTCTGACTGACCTCTTACTGATAGTCACTGTCTCGACAGTACTGACATGCTCCTGGCAATTACTGAAATAGTATTATAAGTATATGTCATGTATCCCAGGACAAGTTTTTCCTTCCCCCAAAACATTCCAGACTGGACAGGTTTTTCTGCCAACCCATGTATGCCAGTACTCAGTTACATGTTTGTGGCCAAGACGCGTATGTCTTAAAGTTCACAATTAGTACTTTCACACTCTAGTCTAGATGAGGTTAAATAAAATTCCAAGACAATTTGTAACATCTGTGTCCATAATATCACCAGGGTCCATAATATCACCACCTTGAGAAACAGTGTGCTTTAAGATATTTTTACTGCAACATACTTTTGGCGTGCACTCCTTCATACCTCAAATGTACATACCGGTACGTATATACCTAGGGTATGTTGCAGTAAAAATATCTTTAGCACACTATTTCTCAAGGTGGCGATATCATGGACCCTGGTGATATTATGGACACAGATGTTATACAATAGATGTTTTTGTTGTTCCTCTGTTTCTGTGGTTAGGACATGGTAAACTTCTCATGAATGATGGCACGTACTACGAAGGGGAGTTCTTCCACGGGGAGATTGACGGCCACGGCTTCCGCAAGTTTGCCAACGGAAACACGTACTCCGGACAGTTCAGCAAGGGTGAGATGAACGGACACGGGGTGATGACCTGTCCAGATGGAAGCCGGTATGAGGGGGAGTTTGACCACAACCAAAGAGAAGGTAACTGATGATTCATACATTGTTGTTGTCTGCTTTTTCTAATAGTAGATATACTTGTGCAATGTGGCTTTGCTACAGCTCGCTCAATTCATACATGACACTGTGTATTTTGAATTAAAAATGAAATCTGAGGATTGCATCTATTTTGCTTCCAACATGTTTGTCATACGTGTGAATGGAGTTGAGCTAAAACTTTTAATAGATACTACAGGGCAATTTTTGCTTCATCAGAAAAATTTCAAGAAGTTAAAAATGCTGTTTCTGTTGAATGGTATGTCAGGTATCAAGGACACTTGCATTGTCAGCTCAAAATTACTAGGTTGGCCTGACTAATCCAAATGGTGTTCCTGTTGTTCCCATTGAAGGCCACGGGGTGCTTACAGACACAGATGGAGCAGTGTATGAGGGATCTTTCCACAAGAACAAGAGACATGGTCCAGGGTCACAAACATACAGGTATGGACATTATACAGCTTCTATTCCTATATTGGAAATAGACTATGTAATTAATCTATATAACCACACATTTTATATATTAAAAAGGTGGCATTCATGACATGTATACTAAAGCTCAAATGATGTAAATATGATGCCTTAGACAATGGTGTCCATCCCTTAAGATGTTTCACTGTTTTCAGTGGTGGGGAGAGATACGAGGGTGATTTTGTGAGAGACATTCGACAAGGACACGGGGAGCTGAGATATCCAGATGGCACCATATATGAGGTGGGAAAACTTTACATGGCAGTCTTTAAAAGAGGATTTTATTTATCATCAAGTATTGAGGATATAGCAAAATACAAGGATAGAAAACTAACTGTTCAGTTTTTCTCTGTGTATTCCAGGGTCAGTGGAGAAATGACATGTTCAATGGTGAAGGTACGATGATCCATGCCTCAGGAATGGTGTATGAAGGAATGTGGATCAATGGAAAACCAGAAGGTAGGAACATCATCATATTACTGCTACAGTATTTAGCCTTAAAACCTTTGTGGTGGTTTTATTTGATCCCTGCAAAATTTATGACATTGCAAATTAGTATTTCCAAAGCACATTATGTATTATTACATTTAACTGTTATTTCCAAAGTATTATTACATGTAACAAAATTGTTTCGACCAAGAATTGAAAATACTGAAACTTTTCCCTGCCAAAGCAGAATAAAACCATAACAAGCGTAAATGAATTTACAGCAATTGTTTTCATTTCCTTCTGTTTTGGTAGCAACTAAACTTGCAGTATCAAGTATAATGAGTGTGACTGTCACAAAATCAATTTTTTTGGACAGCAATGATTGCAAAACTGTTATATCAGATTCAAGCACATTAGTAGGTATTATCATAGTAGTCTGACCATTGGAAATTTTCCATTTTTGCAGTTGAGGCAACCAAGGTAGTAGTTATAGGAGAACAGAGTATTGAAGTGACCCAGGGAACAGCCTTCTCCATACAGGTAGAACTCAGGGATGATGAGGATAAAGTCATTGCAGGTGAGGGACTTTTCTATGGATGTTAACTTGTGGGAGAATGTAAAATAAAGAAGTAAATAAACAAGCAAAGTCTTCAGTCCTTGTTTTGCAATACAATGTTTTTATAACATGCTTTTAACAGTCTAATGATGATTATGACTGTAGCTGACGGTATTTTCATAACTTTTTATGTTTACCCAAGGAAAACATATTGTTTTTACTCAGTTTCTTCCTCCTCTTCTGTTCAAACACTAACCTCTGACCTGACCAATGACATGACTTGTTGACATCTGTCACCATAGTGACTGGTGTTGGGTTACATAATGTTGCAATTTCATGGTCTGCTCTTCTCCTGTCACCATTTACTCGTAGTGCATGTAACGTTATGCGAATGTGTTTAAGTAAAAATTAACAGGGCAGACCATGTCCGAAGGTAAACATTATGCATTTGCTTTGCAAATGCATCCTCCCATGGCAGGGGCAGCGGCTCCGAATTCCTTCTCCACCCCTTACCCCTGCCGAATAACATGGCATCTTCTACTCTACGACCCAAGGAATATTAATATTCATGAGCTTGCCTTATTTGGCATGACCCCATTTCTGACTTGGGCGGCGAAGGGACGTCACCCTCCCCGCCGGCGACTCCGCCGCCGCCCGGTGACGCGCCCGTTGGGGAGGCCGTGCGGGGCAAAGTCACCGAGCCAACACCTTCCCCTTGCTCGGCGGGATCCGCGCGCAGCCTCCAGCACACGCTAGTGCCCCGCCGACGCCCGCAGCGGCCTGCATCGCAAAAGTTCTCTTCCCAAGACGACGCCATGTTTGTTTTTATTTGTCACTGAACAGCCGACATGATTGGTTCCGATAGCTAGCGCAGCTCATAAATATTTAATGTAAAGTGCGTTGAAGATTTTCTCTGTGATACATGATTGGCTGAGAGCGTGTCCCTGGAATCGGGTCACAGAGTAGAAGATGCCATGTTATTCGGCAGGGGTAAGGGGTGGAGAAGGAATTCGGAGCCGCTGCCCCTGCCATGGGAGGATGTGCAAATGTTACTTCTCTAGTTATTCTTTTGCATTACAAAATACGTTTATTTAAATGATCAAGCATATTTAACCCTACATCAACATTATTTTCTGTCTACATTTCTCTACATTAAAGTGTAGCCTCCTAGCCTTCTCTATATTGTACCAGGACAGAGTAAAAGAAGTCAAAACTTGTTCTTGTTTTGTACAGAAAATGGTCGTGAGATTCAGGTGAGCGCTGCCGTACGGTACTTTGCTCCGACACAGGGCACGTCCTTGTTTGACCTTGTAGAGGACATGGAAGAGACACCCTTCTCCACCCCATTGTAAGTTCTGTCAGCTAACAGTTTATTTGCTTCCTTCTTTTCCAACTTTTGTCAGAAAGAACGACTCATTTGCCACTGCCCTGAGTGTCAAAGTTGGTCAGGCAGGCAGATCTAGAGGCATGGTGTTTTATAGTAGTAGAAGAGGGAATGGGACACTTTATATGTACTGTACTACTGAGAAAATGCTTCTGATGTGAAAGGTAGTTTTACTTCTTTATGCCTGGGGATCATGCATATCTGACCATCAATTCTTGAACATATTTTTCATCACCGCTATATGTCTTCCTCAGTGGCAGCTTATGCTAGATTTCTGTTATGTCAGTATGTTATCATACAATCATGTAGATAAGTTTTGTTTCATCTGTCATGGCTTATGTGATGTTGAGCTGTGATCTTACCAAGATCTGATCCAGGATATGTTAGATCACAAAAACATGACAGTTACTGTAACATCTGTGTCCATAATATCACCAGGGTCCATAATATCGCCACCTTGAGAAATAGTGTAAAGATATTTTTACTGCAACATACTTTTGGTATGCACTCCTGCACATCTCAAATGTACTTACCTAGGGTATGTTGCAGTAAAAATATCTTTAAGCACACTATTTCTCAAGGTGGCGATATTATGGACCCTGGTGATATTACAACAATGTATGGACACAGTTAGCACATGTATGTTCATGTTCTAAATATTGTTCTCATCATTCCCCAGTGGTTATGAGGTGGTGTCATACCCCCTGACAGACATGGACCAGTTGCCTCCAGATTACGACGTGAAGCCGTCACCGCGACCGTCGTACCTGATCGCAGAACAGACCATCCACGAGGCGGGGTCTGATGCAGCATCTGATGTCGGGCGTGACGGTAAGGCCACTAATATCTAAAAAAAAAAAACAGAAAAAAGGCTCACTGGAAAATAATGATTATGAAAAATACACCTACTCAAAGTAACTTTGACATACAGAAAATAAACAGAGTGTGATTATTAATGCCCTTTTTCATTAGTGTATTACAATTAGGTCAGTGATACGTAATATTTCCTGACCTGTATTCTTTTTTTTACTCTATACAGAATCTGCTGATCCAGATGCTAACCCAACTCTTGACGCTGACAATGCATCTACAGGTTAGACTTGTCATTTGTTCAATGAAAATCTTTATCGCTGTGAGTATCAGAGTGTCTACAACATGGTTGTGGTGTATCTGATTTTTAGGTAGGTCATTCAGCACCAGAATTTTCTGTCAGCAATTCTAGAAAAAAAATGGAATATTGAGTAAACAGTTTTGAACTTTGTACATTTTCAGGGACATCGAGCCAGCACAGATCACGGTCCCCCTCTGATGCCCCCCTCCCAGAAGAGACCCCCCTGCCCCCTCCCCCCAACACCTGTCGCTCCGAGGCAGGGGGGCTGTTCTTTAAGGACCTGTTCCTCCCAGGGGCCCCTCCCATGTACCGGCCTTTCATCCTCATGGATGAGATGGATAAAGAGAAAGGAGGGAAGGGTGGCAAAAAGAGCAGGAACCCAAGTGCTATTAAACCAGGTAGGCTCAGCTGTCAACGGTCCGGACTCATTGTTTTTTCTTAGGCCACACCAATTTAATTTTATGGATGACATCCTCTGAAGACCCCCAAACTAGTGCAGGCGAATAAAAAAAATTCCGGCCAAAAATAAAAATGCTACTGAACCACAGGAATACAAAGCTGGTATTGTGAATTCCCGACAGTACATAGTGACGTATACGACAAGCCGGCAGTACATAGTGACGTATACAAAAAGCCGGCACATGCTGGCTTTTTGTGGCATTTATGAATCGGTACTATACTTATGTACTGAGTTCTTGAGTCGTGGAGCTTCGAATTTGATAGCTTGGGTGCTCGGCTCCGTTTTGTCGCTGACTAGCATGGACTACCCAGGCCTAGAGCCAGGCCAGAGCCTCGGTGGAGATGATCTTTTTTTTTTTTGAGGGCGACAGGCGAAAATCAATGCGCGCGCGGATGTCATCCATAAAATTAAGTCGGTGTGGCCTTATAGTGACTTAAACATGTGTGCATGACAATGCAGTTTTGTTAAATATTAAAGAAAAATGTCTTGTGTTTACAATTAGTTTTGAATTCTGGAAATTATGAAATATCTTCTTCTTTCTGTCAAGATCATTGCTGGTATACTCTCAGACTGTTCTATATTATAAGTTATCCTTTTAGCCTATTAAGGTGTTATAGATAAATTTTGTGTACAAGTGTACATGTTTGTGTTTTTTTTTTTGCTTTTTTTCTTGGTTTGAATTACGTGACTGTTTTTTTTTATGATTGGGATAATGGAACACTACATACTATGTGTAATGTTTTTGTACTATTGAATCAACATTTTCATACTACTTTAGTTAGTAGACCTGTTCTTGCCATGCAATATTGATGGTATTATGAAGTTTGATGAAACACATAATTAGAATCTAAAACCAGGCATTCTTCTGTTACTGAACTAATGCTTACCTAAGGATCTTCAGAGTCCTCTGAAGACTCAGACGATGTTTCTTCTGACCGTAAGCTAAAACCCTGTTTCCTCCTAAATGTGCATAGTAGTGGAAGGGTGTTGTAGTACGCAAGTATATGTACGCAAGTATGGTTTGTCTCTCTGATTCCCAAATAAGTTTGTTTTCCAGAATAGATCTGTCAAAAACAGTTGTTTAAAGAGGAAATTTAAGTTTGTTTTGAAATGCCTCCCTGGAAAGCAGATTCTAGGATAATAATTTCCTTTTCTTTTTGAAAATACCAGTGAGACAGACCAGAAGGCTGTGACGTAATGTGAAGTAAAAATTCATGGACTTTATACATGTAATTTGAGATGATGAACTTGTTAAAAACTACTATTGCAGGAACTGTGGTCATTTTCTCTTTTGATTTTTTTCTAAGAGGACATTTCCACAGTTTGGCCATTCATTAGCAATGTATAGTTTCTTCATCTCAAATGTCATGAATACTAGTGCCTGCTGCAGTAAATGTAGTTGCTTCCACTGCAGTCAATGGCAGTTACACTGCATGTTGCACAATGGTTTATTGAGCACTTTTCTCCGTGTTTGATGTTCTTTCCCAAGGTCGAGCAGCATCGGTAGCCTCTTCAAGGTCGTCGCGCTGTAAGAACTGCTCTGTTGTTGCACGGGTGGCACATGCACCTCAGCAGAACCAACCACGTCTTTCATTGTCCGCTATAGTTTTCATCCAAAAAATGAACCAATGTTTTGTTTGTTGAAAATGAAAAGCATGCATGCTGCAAGGAATGGCACACAAGATGCTCAGCTTATATGTGCCATTCCTTAGTGTACGTGGTCCTTTTATGAAATACAACGTGGTTGGTTCTGTGTCATTGGTTGTGGCATCACTGATAGTTGTTTTTTTCCAGCACGTCCTGTAGTTAGTATCCAGTAGTGTTGCCTTTGTTGCAGGTCATCTTTTCAGGTGTGGGTGGGTGGGGGTGTAACTATCCCTGGCTTAGAATGTTTTTTTAGTTCTAAAACATCTATCACCTAACAGCTTTTATTCACCCATTCATGCACTACATTGTGACAGTCATAGTCACACTTTTGTACTTGCTGTGTTGCACACATGCAATAATAGGTATCATAGATGCAATTTATACGGGGTCGGCCCTATGTTACGACAGCCCTATGTTACGACAGCCCTATGTTACGACAGCCCTATGTTACGACAGCCCTATGTTACGACAGCCCTATGTTTTGACACCCCCTTTTTTTCAACTTGTTCAGACACCAAGTGATAAATTATTTGTAAATGTATTGAGTGTAATGATCTCGAAGGGAATTTTCACGTAATATATTGTCACTAGTGACAGTGTTTCCGCCGCTGAGAGATCCTGAGAGGCCGTCCAGTTGGGAAGGGCCAGGTCGCGAAAATTAATTAAGTTATATGGAACACGTCGCGAAAATTAACTGAGGGAGCGGGGCATTTGTTTACACTTGTTTACAAGTTGAAACTGTCCACAAGCATTCCACATTTTTCACAAGTATTGACATAAAAAAACACTGCTACAAATGGCAAACGTATCGTCAGGAATACTTAATTAGGACATTCTGCTGCAAAACTCCGGCTATCGCGGGCGCTACCCAAGGTTCTCCGGTAGCGCCCGCGATAGCCGGATTTTAATAGTGAAGAGCCTTGCTTCGTCCGTACTTCTTCCGTACTAGCAACATTTCCGCTACAAATTACTAGTCTACAAATTACGCCAAAAATACATCAAAACATGTAAAGAAGCGTCATCTAATCTCTCATACACGAGACAAATTTTGTGGTGCCTTTCGCGTATTCAAGCAACCCGGAAGTGTCAGCGAACCGCGGCGTGGATAGCGAACTATGGCGTGGCGTGGATTTTCAACCCGCCCGCTACAAGACCATCAAAAACATATAACTCCCAGAAGAGAATGTTTAAATCCGAAATGATTTTGTTCGAGGAAAAAATATTTGTGGATACATTTTACTGGATGGAAACTTGAAAAACGGGTTTTATTAATGAGATTAACGTATGCGAAAGGCGCCGACATCAATTGTTCGTCAGCATATAACAATAACAATAGCTGTCGTAACATAGGGCTGTCGTAACATAGGGCTGTCGTAACATAGGGCTGTCGTAACATAGGGCTGTCGTAACATAGGGCTGTCGTAACATAGGGCTGTCGTAACATAGGGTATGAACCATTTATACACCAGGTAGTTTGTACACTTTACACAGTAATGGAAGGCATTTCAGCACCTAGTATCTACCCTTGGGTTAGTGTCTGTTGGTGTGTTCTGTGGGAAACTGTGGGCTTCGGTTACAACTTGGTTCTGCACACAGACACAGACACACACACACACACACACACACATGCAGGCACATACACACATGTACACACATGCACACACATGCACACACATGCATATGTGCACACACAAATGCACACATACAGTGTCACACACAAACACACACACACACACACACACACACACACACACATGACTCTAGTATCGTGTGTGCAAGGCTAAAAATATAGATTATACTTTAGACCACATTTTCCAACTAAGAATTTCCATCCCATTCTTTCCTGATATATTATAGCGGAGTCAGCCACAAGTACAGTGAATTTGGAGGTGAAGTTGGAAACTAAGCTGTCTACGCTGGGGAAACACAACGAGGGAAAGTTTGCCAGACCAGGTATGTGATTCAGGTCGTATAGGCACTCAAATACTCTGCTAATCTCAGTCTTGCATGGCAACAGTGGCCAAATCTGGAACTACATTTTTGTGGTGATGAAGAGTCCAAATTCAGTGCTACCATTCTCTACTTCAATAACAATGGAATGGATACATCAGTGAAGGTTGGACATCCAGGTAATAAGATATGCCAAAAAGCAGTTACTCAAGCAACTGGATATGATTTTGGAAATGGTCAGACGTTTCAGGTAGTATCTACTAAATGGAATAGATCTTTCTTGTGCATTTTTTGTGTACTTTTGTGTATTTAGTACTTACAACAGTTGTTCTCCCTTGTTATTCCCCAGGTGACTACGTGATCATGATTCACGATGTGACCACGCCCCTGTTCCTGGGTCGATCTCTACAGCCAGCCTTCATCACGGTGAAGGTGACTCCGCCCAAACACAAGGGTGGGGGGGCAGCGCCGGGCAAGAAGAAGAGCTCCCATAAACACAACTAATGAGTGCTGGCAGTGAAAACACAACCAATGCCTTCCCATCCCCCTTCCCCACTTTCCATGTTCAACATACCATTCCCTGCATGCCCGTAGTCAGGATTTTGAATGGGGGGTTCTTCCCACTGCTTGAGGGGACCTCGAGCAACAAAGGTGCAAGGTTCCTAGGGGGGTCGGGGGGCATGCTCCCCCGGAAAATTTTGAAAAATGAACCTTCTAAAATGGCATTTCGTGCATTTTTGAGAGGATTTCCAAGAAAAAATCAGAGATAAATTTTTATTCAATGACAAAGGGAGCAGTTTTTCTACGATTCCAGTCCATCTTTTCAAGCAAAATCTTGGACCTTTACATAAAAGTGGACCAAAAAGTGGACCTTTGAGCCTTGTGGGGTTCTTTCAAACCCCCCTGACCCCCCCCCCCTACCTGGCTACGGGCATTCCCTGTAAATTCCCATGACACTTTCTTTCTTTCTTTGCAGATCAAGGGAAACATTTATTTCACTTGATAACTTAAACATAATTGTTTGGGACTTGTTACATCATTATTTCTGAAAATAAATTTTAGCTTTAAAAGTGTCAGGTCACGTTTACAAGCCACATGCAAAATGCATGTGCTAGCAAGGCTATGAGACTCAGTTTTCAGAAGGGCAATTTGCCAGAGTGAAAATGCTCTCAATTAGATAGGTTGTTGGTACAATGGGTAAAAGGATATTTTTGTTAAATGTCTCATCTAAGAATTCTTTCAAATAAAATCTTCCACTTTTGTAACTTATGTATGGGGAAGATGTAACAAAGACAAGTTACACTTTTGATTTGTGTGCTTTATGAAATTTGAAAACATGCTTGTGTAATGTTATATGCAGCTTTAATTTGCAAATATCAGAGTTTGAAATAGGATGTTACAGGCTGTTACAGTTTTCTGGTGTAAAGGAAATAATAACATGACAGACAATGCATTCATGTGATCTGTATATATGTACATAATAATATATCAGTTTTGTCATAAAATGATTGTCAATTTTTTTGCCTTGAAATTTGTTAAGAATTATAAAAGAAAGCAACACTCCGTTCCTATATTTCACATTGTCAAGGATTTAGAAATCTATCTATTCTACACAAAGTTAGAAACCAGACAAGAAATCGGTTCCCTACTACACGAGCGATTGCTGTTTTTGTTTACATCAAATGTAAACTGTTTGAAGACATGCAAATTTTGTTGGCAAATCAGCCAATCATCACCCGCCTTTGCCACTCGCTGGCAGTGACGTCATGGAGATCGGCGGTATTTAAAGTTTCCTCATGACGTCATCGCACCTGTGCTCCGCACCTTTCTCTCACGTTTTCGGGATGATACAAAATATGTTGGTGCAGTGAAATGGGGCGAGGTGGATGTTCAGAACAGTAGAGCACTCTGCGTTGACTATTCCTCTTCATTTACAACCAGAGTACGAGTGGCTGGAACAACAATTCCCCTACACCAGAGGGATGGTATTACACGCGTATATACCATTAATTTTGTCTTCCCTCCACACAACGTGCACCCTTGCAGGATGATTCGTGGTCCATCCCCGAAGAACCAAACTTGTAAACCCCAGAAGTGGCGTCACTGGCCAGGTAGGTTATAGTTTTAGGTTTAGTGAAGTTTTTGAACGCATGAGAAAAGCAGTTGAGGTAGGAAGGAAATGGGAAGAAGTATTTGTTGTTGAGGATGAAGTTGCGTATTGAAATAGTGGGAAAAACGTTTCGTTACATTCCGCAACACAATATATATTACCCATAGGGGAGGGGTGGTTAAAAACAATGGCGTAATATTTTATAACCACTTATTTCCATTTTTCGAGAACAATGAAAGTCAGAATCTTGACATGTAGAGTTCTTTTAAAGACTTAAGTTATTTTTTTTTTGTTCTGCTTTGTCAAATTCTAATCATCCTGTGAATCAAAAATCTAGATGTACAGTACATGTAAAACAGTCGAAGCGCCATATTGCTGCGAATAACTTGTTTACAAATTGATGCCTACATCTGTTTACCGTGCAGATGACATGACATGGCAGATGTTTGTGGTAGTGATTAAGTGACACCATAAATGCAAACATTATGTGTGTGCTTCGTAAACGTTGTATAACTTTCATCCTGTCATTTAAAAAAAAAGTTTGGTTTCATGTGACTTGCTTAATGTATGGTTTGGGAATTCCGATGTTATAGTCTGCTGATGTAACGTACTAGAGCTGCAACACTTTTACCAACTTGGACTGATGAGTTCGCTAGGTGTCGTCCTTGAGCGAGTTTTTAAACACAGCTGCAATGCCAAGGTGTACTGCTAGAAGGCATTGTGCTATAAAGGAAATTTTCTATGTATGCCGCATGCCGTGACTAGCAGTGTGTAACCTGCCCTTGTATCCAGTCTTGAAACATTTGTCACTCGACCTTGGAGTTATTGCCTGCGGTACAATAGAAGTATAAAAATATAACTTCATATTGCATTCTCGCAACGACGTTGACGTTCGTATATACTCCAGAGATGACGTGCCATGACTGCACATACAGAGAATGCCTTATTGTCATGGCAGCAGAATACGACATCGATGCGCTTCACTTAGACCCTCACATTAATCGATAGTAATGTTTCTATAATGGCATCTCGCCAACAGATACCACTAGTAACAGTCGAGGCATCAAAACTCTTCAGTGATCTCCCCGCGGACATATTCAAGACAACTGGAACATTTAATCGACATTCGTTTCCGTTTGGTCCCGTGGGGAATATCTCCTCCCAGCTTACATGGAAATTGAAAATCTGGAGGTTGTGCTGAAATATTTATGAGTGTTGTATCGCACGAGCACACTCCCGCTGCATGCGGCAAACCCTACCCTCCATAGCATGCCAAAAATTGGGTTTTTTTGGGGGGTCTTCAGGGTCCTTGGGAGCTTTTATGTACTATTTTCTGATTGCATTTAGACAACATAGCCGGCCTGGTTGAATTACCCCGTAGAACTGGGCTAATCAGAAAACAGCAGAAGACCACCAACTCCCCAGTTCTATAAGCCTGCTACGAAGGCTATGCAAACCCCGGGTTCGATCCGGAGGGTCAGCGGTGGTTCAATGGCGCATGCAGTAGGTCCATATCTGCAAGGTCATATCGATGGAACTGAAATGATATGGTTTTGTCGATTGTCAGTTTACATTACATATTAGGGGGAAAGTGTCTGAAGACACATCTTATTAGCGTTGAATCCAGCCGGGATTTGAACTCCGGTGTGTACGTTACTGTTTAATATTTGTGTCATCCTTTTGATCGGCGTTAACTCGTCAGTTACGTTTGGTTGGATCCATATGACATCATTTCTTTGTCGAGATATCGTCTTACAAATACGTACCTTAGGCAAACATATGTAAATAGTGGTGTGAACTGTCGCCTTTTCTTTATTAAATCATGATATGTAGATGATTTTCTTTGTGACATACATGTACCTAGGGCAACGACATTCAAGTGCCTTTCCCAACTGCTAATATGTAATCATCATTGGTTGGTCCCTTGCGACTTGCCAAACTGGGCTCTCACATTGCCCACTCAGGTGCTAAACAAGTCGTATACATCAAACGATACGAAATGTGTTCAAAAAGATTACTTTTCCGTTTAGTGTTCTATTTCATCTATTTCTGATGAAAATTCCCACCCATGAGCTAAGTTTCATCCGAGCGTTAACAGTGACCGTTAAACTGTGTTCATCTGGCCCCCACAGATCTGCGGCAAGGCGCTGTGATCACGTGACACCAGCTGACAAAGACGCACCCGACTGTACACCTCCTGTCCGCTGGCACCCCTTGTCAATCTGAAAATGCGGCCAGTGCTGGCCGCCGCGGTTCTAACCGCGGTCCTGCTCCTCCTCCAGGGCTCCTCCCCGGCCCAGGCCACACGGAGCCCGTGGAACGGCGATGCCGAGAGCGAACTAGACTACCAGACGGAGGGTGAGTTCTTCCCCGCCGAGGAGGAGGAACCCACCTTCCGGCGGCATCGGCACGGGAAGAAGCGGGCTGATGACGGGAACGACGAGGAGGACGAGGAAGAACATCTAGCCGTCGGCGGTGTCGAGGACATTGGAACCGAACCACAGGCCCACAAGCACCACCACCACAAAGACAAGGCGAGGCCCGCTTCTGCTGAGAGCCGTGAGATGGCCTGGGGTGATGGCGGTGAGGAGGCGGCGTGGAACGGAGACGCCAGCACCACCACTGACTACGAAGAGGAGTGGGCCGGACGGAAGAAGGGACGACACGCCGGGAGGAAGGGCAAGAAAGGAGGGAAGAAGGGACGGAAGAAGGGAAAGGGACACCGGAACAACAAGAAGAACCAGATACCAGGTAGGAGAACACCTGTCGTTTTTTCCTCTTTCTCTACTACTTGTTTTGTTTTGAATAAATGCGCCACAACTTTTTTTTTTACTATTTACCCTGACGACCCTAACCGAGCGCACACGGCGTACCTGCTCACACTGAGTTTGCGGAGCGACACAACGCCAAAGCTTCGACATCTTTGCCACCTTGGAGCCAATACAAAAAAGGCGCATTAAGATGCGACAACGCCATCTCCCCTTTAAAGATCTTTTTGCAACTCCAGTAAGCCTTTCTTCCAGGCTAAGACGTGCGGCGATGAGTTTTCTTTATTAACTTAAATGAATTTTTGTCTTGTTTATACACTAGTGTTTATACACTGGAAGTTTCCGTATCTACAATAATATTGCGCCTGTCAAGAATTGACATCGACCGAATCAGAGTCCGCTATCTTGAACACTGTCAGCTGCAGGTGGTGTTACTGATACGATATCTCAATGTTCCCGGGGCAGTATACTACATGACTGATATATATGTATTGTAGTGGCTTATGTAAGGAACATTCTTTATGCGCTCTCAACCGAATTTCTTCGAACACTGTGGTCATAACTATTTCTAGTTGGTAAATCCATACCCAGGCCCAGATTCGTACGAAGCCTCGTGGCTTGGATCTTGACTCTTGTTTGCTCTGCTTTCTCTACTTTGTTCTGAAGAGAAGTTGCGGCACTTTACGACACGATTGTGGTGTATATACATTGTATCCAGAGTTAGACAATTCCAAAATCAGTGCGCCCTTCCTAGCCCTCCATCTAAAACTTTGGCTGTACATTGAATAATATAACCCAAGCACGGCACCCCCGTTTATGTTTGTTTTCCTCCGAAGTCTCCGAATTTTTCCAAACTTTAAACAAGACAGTCCAACCCTGGAATGGCGTTCGTTCGCTGCCTCCTATTTTGTAACATCACCTTTAGCTTTGCATACTGAAAACGCACGGAGATGGCATCGCAGCAATGGCCGGAAATTCTTAAATGACACACGTGCACAGAAAGCCCATTAGAGTACAAAACCAGTGGATCCTTGAGCTAGGATGGCCGCAAGTGAACCTTGTATACTCGATCGTCAGCGGAAAGTAGCTTTTGAAAGCCCTAGCTCGTTAGCTGCATTTCCTTGCGTTAGTGACGTTTCTCCCTCTATCTCTCTTAGTTCAAGAAGTAACTAATGGGATGAATTTTCACGTCTACATGAATAGCTCTATATCCACTGCCGCACAAACATCACCTTTAGCTTTGCATACTGAAAACGCATTGACATGACATCGCAGCAATGGCCGGAAATTCTTGAATGACACACGTGCAAAGAAAGCCCATTAGAGTACAAAACCAGGGGATCATTGAGCTAGAAACCTGGTATACTCGATCGTCAGCGCAAAGTAGCTTTTGAAAGCCCTAGCTCGTTAGCTGCATTTCCTTGCCTTAGTGACGTTTCTCTCTCATTCTTTTTAGTTCAAGAGGTATCTAATGGGATGAATTTTCACGTGTACATGAATCGCTCTATATCCACGTGCCTCACAAACACACACACACACACACGCCTTTTCCTGCTTGTTAAGGAAGCTCATACAGCCGTATGTGTGTAGGCGGCCGACGTTCCGTGATCCTACGTAGTTCGGAACCAATCAGGCCAGGAGCCCAGGCTGTATCCATCCCCCCAGCCTGCTCACGACAGCCGCTAGGTTGGCCTTGGTCACGCCTGGAACATTTGTCACCAAAGCCTGAACAGTGATTGGGGCCGCCCCATGCAAGCGTATTAGCACCACGGCATACAGTTTTGTCAGACTGTATGGCTGCTGTTTGCTCCCATGTCGTTTTTGTCATGCATTCAGGAACAGGCAATGTTGGGGCCGCCCCATGCAAGCGTATTAGCACCACGGCATACAGTTTTGTCAGACTGTATGGCTGCTGTTTGCTCCCATGTCGTTTTTGTCATGCATTCAGGAACAGGCAGCCTCCTTGTATATGAATGGGCTTTTGGGGAGCATCTCTACGGTTGTTCACACCGCCTTCAATGGCTCAGTTTCCACGCCGCGTTCCGTCCCAGTGTCCGCTCGCTCGCTCGGCGTTTTCTCGGAAGCGTACGGACGCCGAATGAGAAATGACGGGCTCACATTTCCCCCGCTTTTATGCATGAGCGGCTCGGGAAGGAGAAATGCCATTCATACTCAAGGCTGTGTGCTGAGATATGGAGCCGATATATTCATGACGATAGTCAGAGTGGCATCATCCATTGTAGTTACGGGTCAGGACAGCCGAGCCTGGCCGCGGGACGATACAGATTGGGCAGCCACCGACAATTTTAAAACCTCCCCTCTGTATCTGTATCTGTATCGGTATAGCCGGTATAACCGCCCTTCGGCGTAACACACCAGCTTCGCAGGCACGCGGCGCGGCGGCAGCTAGCTATATCACACAGAACGACTTGTTACACTTAATATTTGCACATTTGATTGCAGGAGTGGTTTAAAGCTATCTAGTGATGATGACCCAACTGTGCTTGGTGGCAGCGAGTTCCAGTCCACGATAGTTCTGGGGAAATACGAGTTTTTGAATACCTCAATTCTTGGTTGATAACTCTGATATTTGAAGGCATGACTGTTTCTTGTTCTTTTCTGGGCTGGTATCAGATACTTAGTGGTTGGTACGTCCATCAGTTTATTAGAGTCATTTTGTACATCAGGCAAAGTCTGGACATTCTACGTCTGTCTTCCAGCGACCCCCACTGTAGGTTTCTTTTCATTTCCGTTACACTAGCACTCCTTTGATCCCATGTATCTGCTACATTGCTTTTCTATTAAGGATTTTGCGGGCGTCCCTGTAAAATGAGATATTAAAAGTTATATTGGTAGCGTATGTCACGCGATATGATTGTACCATCGCACGTTTCGATGTTACGATGATGTAACAAGTTTCGGGTGTTGGTCGTATTCCGGTCGTATTCTCTCGTCTTCACATCCAAGTTGATTGGTGCTCATATGTATGCTAATTGCGCAGGGTATAGGTAACGACGGCCCGTCATAAGTTGAGATATAAGTTCTTTATGCTGAAGGACGTCTCTAAATAAGCAGATCTGGAGATAAGACTCTGAGTACTCCTTAGGAATTTCAAATGAAATCGTGAAACGATAGCTAAACGTTAACAGATCCTCATATGTATGCTGATTATGCCAAACAGTTACCGACCCTGCCATGAGTTGACACACAGGGTCTTCATGCTGAAGGCCATTTCAGCATAGCTCCATCACACAAAATCCTTGGCATTTATACAAAGGACAGTTATGAAAATAAATGTTGACATTATGACGGGTGTGTAGAGACACGTCTTTTCATTCATATTCAATGGTTATTCTTGCCATCGTTCCATCAACCAATCAAGTACAGGAAGCCCTTCTGTAAAGTTCAATGACGATTGTGAAAAAAATGTTATTCTGCAGCTGAAAAGAAACCCACTATTATCTTCAGCACTAATGTGCTATCTATCAACGTACTGATGGAATCTGCAATGCTGCGCAACGAGTATAGAATAACAAACCTTCGGACGGGGTCCAGTATCTTGATTTGTACCTTCTTAGAAAGAAAGCAAGTCAATGATCTTGAAAACATATTCCTCACTCTAACACAAGTATAAATGGTGTACACCGTTTTGTACATGTACTAGTTTACTCAGTAAGGCTCAGATGGTTTGGGCATGTGATGCGAAGACCAGCAAATACCTTAGTTTATAAGGCATACCACCAGGAGTTAAAAAACCCTAGACCCCGGGGAAGACCACCAAAGAGGTGGAAAGACCAGATTCAGAGGGATACAGGGATTACCCTAAGAGAAGCAGAGACTATTGCCCTTGATAGAGCTGGCTGGAAGTACAGTACCTGACAGAGGGGAGCAAGGGGCCAGTACCTGGCCTGCAGCTGTGCATATAGGCAGGCGTAGGCTAGTTTACTAGCACCTTCCAGCGTGTAGTGTGTATCACCAAGGCATGTACCCACCTCGCGTGACCGTAACAAAATCTACATCGAATTTTCGCCCTTCAGAATCGACAATCAAACAGACGACGCGATATCCTAAACACGGACAGGCAGGCATTATTTATGAAGTTGTCCGCACGCCACGGTATTGACCCAGACTAGAACAGTTTTTGCGTGCAGTGCTGTTCAAAGCGCACCGGAACATCCGATCTGCTTGACTCCCCGTGCCGATGGTACTTCAGAACTCGACAGCACAGAAGTTTGCACGCAATCACCAAATACACATGTCTTTTTTTTCCAACATGGTGGTAATGACACACTCAAGTTTTTTCAACTTATATTAATGCCGCCACTAACACAGGGGACAAATACATGACAGGACAATACTCATTTACACCTGAGCTAAGTGAGGAAAGTCGTGTAAAGTGCCTTTCCCATGGGCACAAGATCGGTGGCATGTCAGGACTCGAACCCGGGACTCTTAGTTCCGAGTCGCGCACTCTGCCGCTACGCCACACGACCCCAACACATGTATACACATGTATCTCAGATACACATGTATCTCACCGTGACTTCAACAACGTACTCAGCCTAACACACATAAGGATCGACTACATGTGGATTCTAAAATATACAAATCATCAACAAGGTCAAAAACAGTGAAATGCATGGTACAGTCGTCAGTGGACAGTCATTTACCAATATTGAAACTTATATACGATAGAGTGTAGTTTTGTTGTGGGCTGTGCCTTATATAGCACCGAGAGAAATAGCCCCTTCAATTGTATATTACAAGATGAGTTCGTTCCCTCGTTTTTTTATATTTAGACAGCAAAAAAAGGTCTACCCGTGCTCTATGCATGCAGAGCATAGGGTTTGGTGCCCACGTCCATTTCCGTAGCCCTTGGGCGACACACAGTTGTGCAGGGCACTACAGCAGGGGGCTAGTCCGCTGGTAGTGCTGTGTGTTTGACCTTCCCACACTCTTTCTCATATGTGCTGAGTGCAAAGC